AAACTTTTTGTTTTCACAGAATATCCAAAAGAATTGGTAACATGCTAGGTTCAATCCAGAACTATGAGCTCAAATATAAGAACTGATTTTCTTAAAACTTCTTTGTTAAACCTTCAATATAAAAGAAAATTTTCTTATAAATACGTGCGTTTCACACGTGCATCTCCGCTAGTTTTTTTTTTTAAAGGGCCACTTGATCCAGCCTTCTTTGGAGGTAATTATAGGAACCGTGGATTGAGCCCTGGTTGGCCAGCTCCCACCCTTGGGGCTTAACCGCCTGCTCTATTAGCAGTTCCTTTGTGATTATATCCCTAAAAATAATTAACCTGAGGTAAACAGGTGAAGAGAAAAAAATCGCATGCAGCGTTCAAGTGTTTCACCATGCATGCCTTTTCACTCCAGAGTTTTGGCATCAGAGATTCAGACTTCATCAGACGACATTCAGACTTGCCTTCAACCCTGACAGCACGGGTGATTGTGGTTGTTTTTTTCTTTTTTCTTTTTGACTTTACAAATGCCCATAACGTGACACTATTAACTAAATATTTTATATTTTCCTTTTGAGTTTTTAGGTTGTATTTGTTGTTTTTTTAATCCATTCATATTTCCTCTTTTGATTTGATTGAAGCGACGGCTATCATACAAAGACATGGAAGTTTTTTTTTTTTTTTTGAGCAAACAAAGACATGGAAGTGAGCCGAGGAGCTGAACGCCTACGTGCATTCAGCCCATACTCAGTCGGGCCGGCCCATGGTCACTATTTCGAATACTGTTGTTAGCCTGATGGGCTCCTTTGTCAGCCTGTTGATCTGGGTCAAGGCCCATTGTGCACATGCCCATCTACTCGTGGTTTACCTGACAGCGTCATTTCTTCCAGTTCCAGCTTAATCCAAACTAAAACCATTATGACAAATTGGAAAATGCCGTGCATTATCCGTTTTAACTAACAGCACTTGTGCCTCTGGTAACGTTGACATGCAAATAGATTAGAATTAGTCAATTAGAGATTCGATCAAATTGATGTATCATATATACATGCACCTGCACTATATATGGTTGGCCTGTATATATTTTTTATTGAAATCAGATGAAATAATGGCATGTTGTTCTTCCTCCTGTTTCAACGGTGGTGGCAGGCAGGGTGAATAAGTCCTTGTTTAGTTCGCGAAATTTGGATTTTGGGACTACTGTAGCACCTTCGTTTTTATTTGACAAATAGTGTTCAAACATGGACTAATTAGGTTCAAAACGTTCGTCTCGCAATTTCCCACCAAACTGTGCAATTAGTTTTTCTTTTCGTCTATATTTAATGCTCTATGCACAGGCCGCAAACATTCGACGTGACAGGTACTGTAGCAACTTTTTGGAAGTTGGCGTGGAACTAAGTAATCGTAGTCCTTGTAAAGGTGACAGAGCTTGAGTAAACAACCAGTTTTGACAGGCGAGTGGACAGTCGACGAGATGGATAGGAGTACAGCTTACTGCACCATGCATCTGAGAGTATGAAAACCAGACTATCGCAACTTGTGGCAAATGAAAGAATTTCCTGGATTTTAATGGTTACCTATGACTGTCAGCCACTAAGGGAGCACGCCCGCCAGGCCAACTTTTTTTTTTGTTTTTGAACAAAATACTAAAAACCAAGGGTTGTTCTATATACCTTGAACTCCGAATCTCCTGTTAGATAATCTACTGCTACCTTGTGTGAACATAGCAAGGGGAAGATGACGTCGAAAATGTCTCCTGTTGTGATACTGTAGTCGCTGCAGGTGTAGGCGTCGAACTGCTCACCTGCAGCACTGTAGGCACATGCAGTGGCCGGCGTAGAGTCAACCCTGTATGTTATCTAGTCACTGTTGTAGCAGGGCAGCTGTACTATGATTAGATGGATAGAGTTGTATAAATAGACTACCACGGCAACTCCGTAAAGAGAGTTTAGATTTGCTATCTCTCAGACAGGGTTTCAGCCAACGCTGGTGTCTTGTACTGTGTGTGAATGCTCTGTTCTCCCTTCTTCTTCTAGCTCTAGCCATAGTGTGTGAGGACGGACAACGCCTGTTCGTGGTCGGCACGGCTAGTGGGTGCTCGGCAACACTAGCGGATGCTCAGCAAGACTGGTGAGTGATTCACTCACCCGAGCCGGTGATCCTGTGGGCCATGTCCGTATGATCTTTATACATGTGGAAATAACAAAGCGCAGATAGAAATAGAATCATGCATTGCTGCTGCTTCGTTCCTGCCACTTTTTACTGCATTTTGTTTGATCTTTTGTCCAGTTCAGAATCGAATGGGAACTGCGTCTGAATTGAGCCGATTCTTGTAACTCTATTTTGGAAAATGCAAGTGGTAGGAACAGGTAACTGCATATGTACATGTTTCCCTTTTACAAACGCATGTGCCTTGGATAGTTAAGTTAAGCAGACACTGCCAAGCCATAGCGACTTAATTCTTCTCAGGAACGATGCAAGGTGGTAGCTAGTTAGTCGGCCAATACAGGAAACCAACAATCCCCAAAACCCAGGACCGGCCGGGAACTTACCTGACGATGAAGAGCCGTTTTGATTTGGGCCAGAGAACCTGAACCTTGGTTTCAGATACACATGCATGGGATCAAATGCAGTGCACTACGACATTCATCAAATACTTAACAACCTAATAACCTATTGCAAAAATGCCTGGCGACTAGTCTCCAAAGGCAATAAGGGCCCTGCACCTAGATAGATAGACAATCTCCTGGCCAAGGAACTTGCATGCTCATTTGATTTTTCTTTTGTTTATTTTGCCATAAATAATTGGTGTGTGTTTGATTAATTAAGGAGCAACCTGCAGCTAATCGGAATCCGCGGCCCTGAACGAACTTTGTTTGACTAATGACCTGACCAGGGGCAAATGGCGCTTAACTGCTCCTGGCGCTTAACTAGTAGGCTGACGTACACCACCTTTCCGGGTGACATCATGCACCAGGCTGGCCACTGGCATTATATTCTCATATAATATATTTATATATTGCAACTGTACATGTGCCCATTTTTATTTGTTACTTCACTCCATCACTCATCTTTCTGAGACTGAAAGATTGTTTACTCCCAGTTGCAATAACAATGGCTGTTGTAGGAGGCCGACAAGCCCCCCACCACACAGCACATATCCAGATTTTAGTTCAGTTTATTTTTAATTTGCCGCTCTTCAAAATATGCAGATTATTGGTATATAATAGTAAGAGCTAGTACCCTTTGCTGTGTTTAATTTTGAAATCTGCTGTCCTGGAATCAGTTGATGCATGAACCCTTTGACCGGTCAGCGTTCAATTCACTAGAAGCCAAGAGCCAGCAACACAGATTTTAGCGATGTGGATATATCTATCTATAAGTAGTATGTTTATCACTAAAAAAAGTTTCCAAAGTTTCAGACAAGCTGATGATGTGTCCATGTCAAAGCAGTTTCGTTCAGAAATGTTTCATATTCATCTAGGAGAGATTTTTTTGTGTGCATATATTCATTAGACAGACTTGCCTAGCGGCTGTCTGACTGTTCTTCGCCATACCAATGCAATAATTACTCTGTTGTTTAGGCTGGATCACAGCTTGCTTGCTAACTACGCGCTTTGTCGATAAACCTCTCACATTTGCTCGATCGCTCTCAATAATTGCAGTATATATAAGCCGAGCTAGGCTGGAGTATACGATACTCTAAGACTTGTAGGAACTTTTGGGTGCATATATACATGTGTATCCAGCTTGATGCAGCTCATATAAGCCTAATCAATTCATCATTGTTAATATCTCCCTGCACTCTAAGCTATAGATTGACGGGCTATATATCTGCCATATTGTCTTTTTTTAGAAGAGCAAAATGCCTGACAGATATGGCACCCAGTACTTGATAACTCTCTCATCTCAAGCACCCAGTGTTAGTTTGCACTACAAGAAATCTAACTTTTTGTGACAAAATGGCTCATGACGGGGATAGTTTTTGTCATATAATGTCACTTTTTGTGATGATTTTTTTTGTGTGGTCACAAACTTGAGCCCCAGAATTATTTGTGACGACCCCCCTTATTGTGTCACATAAAGGTACGCAGTTTCGTCACAAAATGTCCCACGCCCGGTGCCCGTCGTCGGTTTTGTTTATATGACACTGTGACCTGTTTTTGTGTGACAATCTGGCGGCGTCACATTAAAAAATGACCGTTTGAAGCATCAATATACCCCTGCAGGTGGACCTTACCCCTATCGGTTGACCACTGTCATTATCCCCTTCTCCCCGACCCGAACTGAAGCGGAGGGCGGTGAGCACGGAGCTGGCGCCTGGTGGAGCGAAGGGCGGCGAGTGGTAGGGCTGCATTGCAGCGAGCACGGCGAGGATCTGGGCGGAGGCAGTTCGCCCTCTCCCCCAACTGACGGCGTGGCAGCCTCTTCCCCATGTGCTCCTTCTCCCCCAAGGTGCTGATGGTGGCTACTACCACCGCCATTCCCCTCCCCGTCCCCCACCATTTGGTGGTCTGCGTTGATGCCCTCATCCCCTCCCCATTTGTCTTTGAGCGCTGCCTGCCTTCTTCTCTCAGCGCGGCTAACCCTAGCGGCTAGCAGCGGGCCACGGAGGCAGAGAAGGTGCAGAGTGTGTGGTGCTTGATGTTTGTTTGTTTTTTAGTTCGAATTCTTGATTGAATGGCTAGAACTCTGTGGATCTGTATCCATTATCCAGGTTGGAGCAACTTTGTGCTTCTGTTGGAGTATCCATTCTCCAGAAGGCTAGAAGGCTAGAACTCCGTGCTTCTGTTGGAGTAACTTTTGCAAATTACAAAAACTGAATGGTTTAGTCCCCTGAAATGAATTTATGATATGAAACTGAAAGACATATATGTAGATTTATATTTTTATGTTTTGGTGGACTTGGAAGAAATGTTGAATGGATAGAATTGGCTTGGCTGCTACACTTTGCTAATTAGAAATTTGCTCCTTCGATGACCTAATGAATCCCCTATCTCTCATTCAGGCATCATGTCACAGGCGTCGTCATCTACTGCTCGCACTCGGCGGTCAGCTAGGGTTGCCCCCCTTGTTGTTGTTCGTGCTGCAGCCCCTCTGCCCACTGCTGCCGATGTGGAGCCAATGGAGGATGATGTCACCGGGTTGCCGTTGATAATCTGCCCGGATTGCAGGGACGTTAGGGTGTTTGCTGCCACAACGACGCAATCTAAGTGTAACAATGGAAAGAGATATTTCAAGTGTCCTAGGAAGAACTTTTCAAATTTTAGTGCAGTGGTTCAATTTGCATTTTGCCCTAATTTCATTTATGTTTGCTCCAATTTCATTGCCTGTTGTTGTCGTTTGGATGCAGGGGAAATGTAAGAGCTATTGGTTTGAGGAAGAATATGTGGTGTACCTTCACGATAATGGTTATCTACTTGTAGCTGGGTCGACCATCGCAGAAGCTTTGACAACTGAAGTCCCTGAGGTGGTGGGAAAAATTGATAGGTTAGAGAAAAATCTGAAAAAGGTGAAGGAAATGGTTGGCAAGAACAGGGAAGGCATTGGAAGCTGCATTTGTCTTGTGTGTGGATGTGTGAATGTAACACTATTCTTAGTGTTGGCCATCTTCATGGTTGTAGCTTTTCTGTTGAAGTAGGCAAGTTGTAGCTTTTCTGTTGAAGTTGGCAATGCGGTTGAAGAACATGTTGTAGTGTTGAAGAACATGTAGTACTGAACCTGTTGTGGTGGAATATGGGCCTTTGTGCTCTTGGACATGTTATGTTTGAAATAAAGATCCCTTGCTTGGATGTGAAAATGTTGTGGGTTGAAATTTTTGCAGCATGTTTGTGAAATTCTTGGACATTTGTTCTGTGTATTGTGATGTATGTTGGGAGCAAATTATGGTAGCTTGTATGTAACTTTCAGCATATATCTATTGTGACACATTCTGTACTTTCCATGACAAATTCTGGGCATTCCATGACATTGTCATGTGTCATGAAAACACAAAAACTTTGGACTACATATATAAACATCATGTGAATGAATTCTGGGCACTGTAACATCCTCATACATCAAGTATGCACTGAAAACAAAATCACTGCATAGTTCCAGAAATGCAAAAGTTACTCATCATCACTCATACAAGTTCATAGTTCACAAATAGTTCTAGAAATGCAATAGTTAGTCATCATCACTGTCTTCTGACATGTTGCCTTCATCTGGACTGTGGTACTCAAGGAAGGTTTCATCTTCATCATCGTTGTCTATTTCTTCACCTTGAGCTCTATGTTGTCGTCGACGGATGGTATCGACAATGTCTCTACTAATAGGGCTGCCTGGATCATTGTCCATGTTCAACAAATCCATACCAGGATCTATGTCTCCCAATGTACCATTTTCCAATGAAGTACTCTCCTCTTGGTATGCCTCCTGACATCTCATTTGTATTTGTTCATGAATTAGTTGCTTTCCGTCGGACTCTTCAACATCAAATATATATCGGTGGCCAAATTCTTGTACCACTCGCCAACTTAGACCTAACTTTGTATCTTCCAAGAAAAATACTTGTGAAGCTTCCGTGGCTAGAATAAAAGGATCAGTCTTATACCATCGGCCCTGGATGTTAATGCTCTTGAAGTAACCATCATATTTCATCCTGTATGTCCTTCCATCAAGATGGTACCATTCACACCGTAATAATATAATAGTTCTATCTCCTCTGCTGTTCCTTGCATAAGTCAACTCGATAATGTCTGTGATTGTCCCATAGAAGTCAATAGTGTCATCATTATGAGTACCTCCACATTTGATGGTGGAGTTTTGTGTCTTCTTGTGTTCCTCACGAGCCAAAGTGTGGTATCATACCCCATTGATTATACAGGCTGTGTATGAACGCATACGCCTAATTGGGCGACATGCGAGTGAGTATAGGTCTTCATCAACATCTGTTAAGCCTTCACATTTTAATTTGGTAATCTATAGGTTCAAAAGAAAGACAATTAGTGAGTTCGAAAATGTATTGAATCATAAATTATACAATCATGTTGTTGAAGTTGCACACACATGATCCTCGAACCATGCAGCGAAGTGTGTTGACATCATTGTATCAATATCGTTCACCCCTTGTTGTTCTAATTCCTCCCTAAACTTGCTACAATAATAAAGGTAGAAGTTAATCAGTTTATTGTGACACTAATATTGAATATAGTTGACTAAAATGACAATTACTCACTCTTTGTATTCATCAACCTCTTCGTAGTTATTCAGAACAAACCAAACCATAGAGTCATAGTCCTTATCTTGATACTGAAGATTCGAAGCACCGAGCAGGTTAATACCATGGCAAAAAATACAGAAACCATTGGGTGAGATGTGCTGGTCAGCATCTAAGTTTCTTTCAGGCCTAGTGAACCTATTAATAATGTCACTGAAATATGTTGAGCACTGGGTCATACACTCATAGGCAGTGTATGCCTCTGCAATAGAGCCTTCAGGTTTTGCTTGATTGCAGACGAAACGCTTAAAGGTGCCCAATCTTCTCTCAATGGGATACATCCATCCATAGTGAACCGGTCCCCTAAGGAGTGCCTCATCAGGTAAGTGTACTGCTAGGTGAACCATAACATCAAAGAATGCTGGAGGATAAATTTTCTCCAGCTTGCAAAGGATGAGTACAATGTCTTTCTTCATCTGGTGTAGTGCATCTACCTTTAGTGTTCTCGAGCAAAGTTGTCTAAAATATCTAACCAATTCAGCAAGTACTTCATATACATCTTTGCGCACCAAACCACAAAGGCTAGCAGGTAAAATACGTTGCAACAATATATGACAGTCATGTGTTTTTAGCCCATGCATTGATCCTCCTCCCTCCATATTGACACATCTTGATATATTGGAAGCATAATCATCTGGAAATTTAACATTGCTGACAAACTGCAAGAACTTCTTCTTGTCTTCAGGTTTTAGAACATAACAAGCTCTGGGCTTATTTGAGTCTCCTACCAAATGAAGCTCTTTTCTTATACCTCTGTCTTCCAAATCTAGTCTAGCAGCAACTGTGTCCTTGGTCTTATTTGGAGTATTAAGTAGAGTGTGCAAAATGTTTTCACATATGTTTTTCTCTATGTGCATAACATCAAGGTTGTATTGTAGCTTCAGATGTGACCAGTATGGCAAATCATACATGCTAGCCTTCACATGCCAAACTGGTTCTCCTTCACGGCGCCGTTTCCTTGATTACTGCTTATCTGGATTCTTGACTGGAACATAGCAAACTTCATCCAACCTGGCCATGACCTCGTCTGCACTAAATTTCCTTGGCTGCTCTCTTTTTTCATACCTGCCAAAAGATCTGTTTGTCCTCCATTCATGGTCGCTAGGGAGGAAACGTCTATGGTCTATGAAACCAATTTTGTTTCTAAGACCGCAGGAGCATGGATTCTCATCACAGTTAACACATGCGAAGTAACCCCTAGTCGTTCTGCCTGACATGGTACCTAAAGCAGGGTAGTCGTGGATTCCCCATAGAATCACTACACGCAGATCGAAATCTTTGCCTTCATATGCATCATAAGTACGGACACCGTCCCAAAGACTAAGCATGTCTTTTATCAAAGGCTGCATGTACACATGGAAATCTTTGCCTGGTGATTTTTTGCCTGGAATTAGTAAAGCAAGCATATAATTCGATTGGTCCATACACATCCATGGTGGCCAATTGTAGGGAACCACTATCACTGGCCAGATGCTATATGAATTGGTCATCTGACCAAGTGGGTTAAATTCATCAGTAGCAATGGCTAACCTCAAACTACGGGGATCATCTGCAAAAGACTTGAAAGTATCATCAAATTCTTTCCAAGCTTCTCCATCAACAGGATGTCTCATTTCATTCGGAACTAGTACCCTCTTTTCCTTGTGCCATCTTGCATACTGTGCACGCTGCTTTGACAAAAAGAACCTTTGAAAGCGAGGAATTATTGGAAAGTAACGCAGGACCTTGTGAGGAACTTTGTTTCTGCCCTCCTTGTTTACTTTCCATCTTGTGAAGCCACAAACTGGGCAATGCTGATCCTTTGCATGGTCATCCCAAAACAAGGCACAATCATACATGCACTAATCAATTTTCTCATAACCAAAACCAAGCTTCCAGAGTAGAGCTTTCACTTCGCTATAGGACTTAGGGAGACCAGACACATTTTTCAATGCATTTGACAACAACTCAAGGAATGCATCGAACCTAGAATTTGTGATCTGATTGTACACTTTTATATGCAACAGTTTAATAATGAAACTTAGCCTAGACTCCTCGGTGCAACCTGGATAAAGCTCACGCTTTGCCTCCTCCAGGATTTGTTTATATAAATTACCACCGAAGCCATGGCTTGCTGTGGTGTGCGAATCTTGAACCAACCCCGCAACTCCTCGTTCACTATCTTCTATGACATCTTGCGTTAGTCCTTCATCATGAAGGGGGGGCTGCTCATTTTCATCATGTAGCTGGTCATTTTCATCCCATAACAAATCTTCATCAAGGGGGCTGGTCATTTTCATCTTGTATTTCACCATCTACCTCTCCATGGTGAATCCAACTTGTATACCACCTACAAAAACCATTGATGTGGATATCCTCCTCTACATCAGCTTGACTTTTTTCTTTTCGGTTCAGGCATTGACGGCATGGGCACTTGATTTTGTCATCTGCACGAAATCTACTTCTCACATGTTGCATAAATTGTTCAACACCAGCAATATAGACCGGATCAAATGGTAAGCTCTTATAAATCCAGCTTCTGTCCATCTACTACCTGGATAAATTTCAGTGCTACAATGTTACAAATCCATCACCTTGTTACAACCTAAAGCTTGTGCAAATCGAGGTTCTATCCATCAGCTTGTGCAAAGTTTAAAAAGGGGAAAAAAACTCACCTTCTAGCGCCTCGAGAGGTAGGTGCTGCAGCTGGGTGGTAACGGGCCTCCAGAAGGTTGCCCGACGAACCTGCTGCCTGGTGGCCGGCGAGCCACCACTCTGGGGAGGCCAGCAGGGGAGGCCGTCGAGGCCCCACCAGGGGTGCCCGTCGAGGCACCACCTTGGTGGTCCGACCGACGAGCCAACCCTGGGGCCGCCGAGGCCCCACCAGGGGTGCCCTGCAGCTTGGGTGGACGGGAGGCTGGTTGTCGAGGAGGGTCGAGGTGGGGTGTCTTTGTCACATGAGGCAAGCAAGCTTGGGTCATGGCGATGGGGGCCAGGCGCCACTCGAGGCAGAGTGGGTGGCGGTGGCGAGACTTGCATTCTTGATTTACAACAAGAAAGAAATGTTTGGTTGTTTGAATGACAAGTGGGCCCTAATGACAAGTGGGGCCAAGCAGGTTGTTTCAATGACAAGTGGGCCCTGCATGGTACTAAGCCATTCTGGACATGAGTTCATCGTAGAACTGTGTTTCTTTTTTTAATCCATGGTAAAATGTTCAAACTTGTTAATCTCCCTCATACATAGTCCAAATTTGATGATTTTTTTTTCTAAATTTTCTAAAATCATGCTCTATCAATGCATGCAGGTCATTAAGGTCATTTAATAATTTGACAGAGTATGCACAGTTCATCATTTCAAAAAAATGCTAATTTCTCACTAAAATTTGAAGGGCCAAATTTTT